ACACACTAATAATTATTTCTTTACTGATAAGCCCGAGGCAAAGCTAAAACAGTTTTATTGGTTTTTTTTTTTTTGAATCGCCAATTTGCTTTTATCTTTTCCTTAAATTTGCGTGTGGTTTTGTTGGTATGGCATAGCCATAAGGTAGCATTGGAGCACCTCTGAATTACATAAATACACTGTGGTATAAAAAAGTAATATGGAAAATATTTTATTTATATTTTTTCAAATTTAGGCGGTACCGAGAAATGCGTGAAGCCGAAGTGCATGCTGCCCGTGGAGGGCTGTAAGCCCATATTTGTGGACTCCACCTGCTGTCCGGTGAGGTATGATTGCAGCAGTAAAACCTCCGGAAAGTCGTCGCAGGAAGTGCGCTACAGGAAGACCTCGAACAAGCACTTTCAGCGCATGTCGCAGCGCCTGCAGCGCAATCGAGGCTGCACTGTGGGCGCCCAGTTCTACGCGGAGGGTCAGAAGATGCGGTCGGATGCGGACAGGCCGTGCGACATATGTTTCTGCATCCGTGGAACGCGACGTTGTGCTCCGAAGAAGTGCTCGCCGGCTCTGAAGAACTGCATTCCGGTGGTGCCGAAGGGTCAGTGCTGTCCATCCAGCTACGATTGTGGCAGTCAGCGGGATTATCGCAGATCGCACAACTCCAGGCAGTTCAATCTGTACAACATGCTCTTCGGCAAGGATGAGCCAACGGAGCAAGAGGTGCCAGCTTTAATGCCACAAAACTCAATGGCCGAAAGATATCCCCACGATCGTCATCCCACGAGAGCTGCCTCGGGAAGTCACCTGGAGGCCAGTAGTGAGAAGAGCATAATGGACACTCTTCGCGAAGGTCTCGAGTTCATTGATGGTAACAACAACAAAATGCTGGCCAACAATTTAGACCTTGTGGGCATGGGAACCACCCAGGCACCACCTTCAATGAGAACAGAACCCAATGCAGAGGGGAGCAGCACTACGGCTCTGAGTTTCTTGGACTTGATTTTGGGTCCCACCACGGAACACGAAGGGTTTGGGCAGCCAGAATCAACGACGGTCAAGAACACACTCTCCTGGATGGACATACTGCTGGGTCCCGATGACGAGGATCTGGGCCCCAAGACAGAAGCCTATCTGGAGACCAGTACCACCCTAAATTCACCTGAAGAAGGTGTTATGTCTTCCACAAATAGTATAAAACGCGTTGCAGAGGATTTCGATGAACAGTTGGACAACGGCGAAATGGCAGTGGGTGAACTGCCAGCGGAGGCGCAACAAATTGGTTTGGCCAATGCCGGAATTTGGCCAGCACCAGCCAAGGAAGTGGCGGCCCCAGCGAAAGAAGAACCCAGTTTGTTTAACGCCTTTATGGATGGTCTGTCTGGAATGCTCGAAGAGCCACTCAATCAGACCTCGACAAGTACAACCACAAGCACCGAGAGACCAACCACTGTGCATGCACCACCCATGTTCCGACCATTGCCGAGTGGCAAGCCAATTCACACGCGAATAAACTCGAAACTGGCCAACCTCACGGTTACACCGCCCATGCTGGTGGTGACCAGCAAATATGGTCAGCCGGTGACCCACAGAACAGCGGATAAGAGGGTCAAAGTCAACGCCACCAAAAGCACAGAGAAACCAAGTGTAAGCACCACCCAGCGAACCGTACTAGATACCAATGTAAAAACCACAACGAAGCCAAGCACTACGGCTAAACCCAAGCTAAAGACCACGAGGAAAACCACTACCACCTCGAAACCTACTACTCCAAAACCCACAACTCCGAAACCTTCGACAACAAAGCCCACAACATCTAAACCAACGACTTCAAAGCCCACAACTCCAAAATCAACCACTCCAAAGCCCACAACTTCAAAACCCACAACTTCGATAGCTTCCAATCCAAAACCAACAACTACGACGACAACAACAACCACCATTCGAACCACCATTCGAACCACCGGCAAACCCAAGTTTAAGCCAAAGCCTAAACCCTATATTACAAGCACTCCAAAACCTCTGGTAATCAAAACTAACCCGAGTATTTTGGAAGCCGAACCTTTGGATACCAATGGTGAACCCACATTGCCACCCAGTCTACCGAACTTAAAAATAATCCCTTTTCTGCCAACCGATGCTGTAGAAACGGTTTCCAAGGAGAAGTATTCGCCCAACTTCTATCAACAGACTGTGGCCTCGGATAAAATGGATGTGGTGGGGTATGATACCATGGATGATTCGGTAGCTCTGTTCTCGCAATCTCAGCCGGATCAGGCTGCCTATAAGTACAAGTTCAATGTGGAAGTGCCAGCAGTTGAATCCGCCCCAGAACCAGTTGTTCATGTGGGTGGTAAATATGAAGGCAGTGCTGCCTACGTGAACTTTGATTTCGATCAGCCGGTGGTGCCGCCCCCTCACAATGGTTTCTCACCACCCACCGAAACGGAGGGAGGGTTCATGCCCAAGGAACCGCTGGTCATCGATGGCGAGGTCCTTCAGGAACATGTCACCTCAAGTGAAATCAATGGGCCACTTGACAGCTTCCATGTGACGCATCACATTATCGAAATCACAACATCGGGGGCACAAGCAAACGACACTGCTTCGATAGGTGAGCAAATTTAAATATTTTATAAACTTAAAGAAAGTTTTTTTTTTTTGGGTTTGATTTTTCGTCTTCACTTATATTTTAAAAGAGACTGCAAAATAAAAGCAAATCAAGTTTTTCGAAACTACTCTGAGTTCTATCAAGTTAGTTTTCTAACTTTTAATATTACCATGTGATATATATATGTATATATAATTCGCCAACCATTTTTAAGGAAATGTTAATCGTAATGAATTAAAAAAGTAATTATTTATAATTTTATAACGTCAATGGCACAGCTGATTATAAAGTGTGTCTAGGTCTACAAAAGAAAGTGAAACTCTAGGAATCGAACAGTGTAAGACAATTTCTTCAAATCTATCTTAAGCGTTAGTTTGGGGTATGGTGTTTTTGAAATTTAAACGATTGTAAAGCGACCCTTATCCAGATTTAGCTAAAAATATCCACTTGTCTTAATTTTGCATACAGAAATCACCACACCCGATCCCTTTAAAGATGTCATACACACAGAGCCTTCGCCCAATCTCGATGAACTAATCGTTGACAAGGCGAACAAGAAGCCGATTGAAGAGCATATCGAGACTGTCACTTACAGTATTAGCAACTCAACAGCATCCTCTACATCGTCAACAACCAGCAGCACAACAACGACAACAAAAGCAACAACAACAACAACAACGGAAAAGGAAAAGGAAGCCGCCTCGATAGATAAATATGAAATCAATAAATTAGACAAGCTCCTGGATGAGCTGCTTGGCATGGAGTTGTCCAAAGAAGAAGTAGTGAGCAGCACAGTGCCGGCATTTAAGCAACTGCCAACAGCAACGCCAACAATAGCAGCAATACCAACAACAGCAGAAGCAACAACACCAACAGCAACAACAACGACAAGCACGACAGCAATATCAACCGCAGGTCGGCCACCATCTACAACACGTGCTCCGGCCAAAAAGGGAAATAGTAAAACGAAAAACAAACAGACCACCGGCAACAGACGCAAAGTCCAGAGTGCCACGCGACGCCAGAGCACGGCAGCAACAACTAGAGCCCCACCAGCAACAACGGAATCTGTGTCTGCGGCAACAACCACGGGGCCGCCCACAACAACGAGGGGCACTCTGCATCCATTTTTAAACTCACCGTTCGAAAAATTGCCCTTCATGGATACCAGCTATGAGGTTAGACCGCACCGATTGCAGCCGCAGCAGCAAACGTTGCAGGCAGCGCAGCAACAGCAGCAACATGAGCCGCCACCGCAGCAATTCCACCATTACCAGCATGCAACACGACCGCCGACAACCGCCACACTAGCAGCATCATCCCCGGAGGATATGCTCCAGGGATCGGGCTTGGACTTAGGTTCGGGTTCAGCTTCAGGTTCGGGGGAAAGGACTGGAGGAGCAGCAGGATTTCTAGGGGGCGATGATCCCCTTGGACAGCTCAAGTTGGCGGGCTGCAACATTTACGGACGCATGTATCGGGTTGGCAGGATTATCGTGGAATTATCCAGCCAGTGCCTGGAATGCAAGTGCACCGAAGTGGGCGTCAAGTGCGGCCCATTAGACTGTTAATTTAGATATCCTCCATGATCGTAGTCCCCCAGGGAGTGTATAGTGTTTAAGTGTCAGTTCGTAGCAGTAGTTTATAGATTGCATGCTAACTAAGGGGTAGTTTAGGTCTTATTTAGACACTAAGTTGTATTATAGAAAACTACAATTATTTCTTTGAAAACGAAACATAAGACATACTGCACGGCATTTATAACATATTTTAGTTAAGCTTATAATAAGGAGAAAAATACATTAAATTCATTAGATACAAATAATAAAAATTGGCTTTAATTGTGCTTTCCAAAAGGATTAAGAAAAGCAACAAAAATACGTGTTGAATAATAATAACATAATAATGAATGATTCGCCTCTACAACATTTAATTAACATTTAAAAAACATGAATAAAATCCAAGCAATTTCTAAAATAAACAGGGTAAGTGCGTTATAAATATTTATTTTTTTTTAGCCTTGTTGCTAATTTTCCAAATAACTAATTGCAACAAATTAATATTTATGCATCAGTGTCAACCACATAGCTACATTGCACGACGAAATTTCTTACAGAATATTTATGAAATCCATGACTCTAAATTCCTGTCTCCAAAACCATTAATTAACCATGAGTTAATTATTGATTGAGTAATCAATTAGTTCTCTATAGAAGCCATTCAGTTAACAAATGTAGGCGAATTAGTTGAGTGGCAAGTAAAAAGCACATTAAAATCAGCAATAAATCATTACCTCACCCTTTATGAGGTGTAAAACTATTGGTTATTCATAACACCGAAATGATGCATCACCGACAGAAAGAATAACAAGTTTACAACGGTTTTTGTGACCAAACGATACAGTCCATAAAAGAAATAAACAGAATATTTGCTGACACTTCAATTAAGGACAGCATGCTTGACTGAATAACAACAAGAAAATATCGATTTTGAACTTGTTGAAGCTCAGTATAATGGCACACCATGTTCTTTACATAGATAAATAAATTTAATGTTTTCTTTTTTAAAGTTTTCAGATTACCGTCTTGAAGGACTTAATTAAGTGATTAGGATAAACTTTTTTTACAAATATTAGTTTTGCATTTTTGTGGGCCTTTAAAAATGGGATAAACATGTTTAGATCAAATATATTATATATATATAAATACAAAATAAAATTAATAAACTACTTAAAGTAAGTTATAAGGAAAAACTGACAGAATAACATAATTTATCTAATTTGAAACTAAAAGTAAATGGCCTTTTGAGATGATTGACGGGCGCGTCGGTAGACGATGAAACCGCACAGAATTCCGGCCACGCCTCCACCAATATGGGCCTCCAGACTGATACGCGGATTGCGATTGTGATTGTGGCGAAAGTGGTGTATTGTGAAGCCCACATCGCTGAGGAACAAGATCAACAGGGCGGCGATGCGGGCGAAGCGGTGCGACAACTGCGAAAAGTTCTATTCGACGAAGTGGGAATCGTGTAAACATTAAATCAAAATTAAATTGCGGTTTCCAGCTGACTGACCAGAACCAGGTGCGGCACATGACTTCCCAGCATGGCGTAGACCCCGGCGGAGGCCCCCATCAGGAGGAGATGGGGCTGCAGCCAGGCGTTGGCCAACGAACCGGCAACGCCTCCCACTATATAGACCACGGCCAAGCGACAGTGACCCTGCTCCACTTCCAGGCAGATACCTATAAAGCACTGGCAGGGACATTAACCATTACTAGCGGAGCAACAACAGGTGACTTTCACAAAGATGTTAACTGTAAATGTATTTATTAGCCTTATTAGGCGGGGACTAATTCAAATTAAATTCACGTTGAAAACATTTAAGTTGTATACATTACTAAATTAAAATTAATCGATTAGCTTTTCTCAATAGTTATTTCATTTAATAAAAGTGAGGTTATATGTTAAAATAATAAGATTCACGATTAAAAACTAAAATTTAAGCTAGAAAGTTAGTAAAAAATATATTAGGTGTTTTTTTTATCTAGACTATTCACTAAAGTTTCAGTTTTAAGCTTAAAACGTTAGTTGAAAATATGCCAATGTTATGGTGATTCTTCATCCACAGGCAAATATTTACATATTCTGGATACCTAACATAAATATTCGATTGTGTAAACTTTTCTGTTCCTCCATCAAAAAGGAAGAATGAAATTAATGTTTATACTTGTGTAGAGTTATATATATATGTATACTGTAACATAAAATAATTTGGCCAAAATCGTGTATTACATTAACGCTATAACTCTCATTCGGTCGGTAGTTCGTGCTCACCTGTAGACAAATGTTGAGGGTCAGGTGCCAATAATCGGAGTGGAGCAGCATATAGGTCAGTAATCGCCAGCACTCCCCGCTCCACTCTGGCTTAAAGATCAGTCTTTTTTGCATGCACTCATTAGCAATCGAATGCAGTGATATCTGGTGGATTGTAAAAAGAAAGACAGAGGGAAGAACTCTAATTACACGGCACCATACTACAACGTATTGGAAAACAAAACAAAACAAAAATTAATCAACTACGTTTTTAAAATGAATTCATTCGATTAAACAGGCTGTGTACATTTCTTTTGATATATTAGTGGTGAAAATGTATTTTAGTTTTGAAATCTTAAAATTCACAAAATACTGATAAACAATATCTGACTTTATGCTACACATTCCTAGGATTTAAAATCTAAAATATTATTACCTAGGTAAGTTATCTAGTTTAATATCGAATATAAAATCTTGTTGGTTCCCAACACCAACCACTACATCTTCTATCTGACCCGGTCAAAGTCAGTTGTCTTTGCCATATCAATGCTTCCCCAACTTTGCTGAACAGTGTATTGGCAATTGCCTGTCACTTTCGCTCAACCGATCGACACTTGGCCAACTGCGAGGTGCGAGTGTTGAGTTGAGATGCCGCACAATGTGCGCCGCATGACTTGACAGCAGCCGCAAAATACGGCTGCGACACCAAATCGGTGCAACATGCATCCCGATCCCACCAAATATGACAAATGCCAGAGCTGCAAGTTGCAACATTCGATCGATTCGATGACTAAAATGGCAATATAGCTAAATCGGACCAGCGACGCGTTCGATTGTGCAATCATTACCGAGTTGTGGGTTGGGCATCACAATGAAACCTTGCCGATCACCGATCGGCACAACTGAGTGTGCAGATTGAGTATTTTACGCATGCATCGTGGTATCAATTAATGAGTCTTGCACCAAATGGGTCACACTTGTGGGACTTTGTTAGGGAGCGGTATTGGCCAAGAGCCCATTAGTGATTAAGCTTTGATTAAGCTTCGATAGCAAAATCACTTAAAATAGCTTCAATAACTAATTAAGCAAGGCCAAGTCGTCTTAAACATATTACTAATGACACTATTAATTTGGATTACTAAGAAGTCAAATACTTCAAAAACTGATTTAGTTATATACGACAAATAATTCAGATTCTAAAAGTTTGATTAACAATATTGAATGTCTTAATTCAATCAAAAAGACTATCACAATAATATTTCAGCTAGTTATTGAGGAGCACATACAAAATTCAGAATTGTACATTTTGATTAATTTATTAGATTGTTGGCTCTCAGTTGTTTACGGTATAATTAACTTAAATATAAATCCAATTTATCAATTATTTTCCGCTTAGTCCAAACCACAAACAATTCCAAGTTGAAACAATTTTCCAGTAAATGAAAATTCAAATGAATTGAGGAGGAATAATTTATGAAACACTCACACAGTGGCACCATGCGCCGGTAACCCAAACAAAACAAAGGAATGGTTTTGTTTAAAACAAATCAAATCAAAGAGCTATTATTATAAGACGCGTTATTATAAACAAACATTTTTAAGAACACTGCTGCTTAGTTTGTTTAGTAAAAATATGAGTTGGAATAAAATTTAATTCTTAGAATTACATGTTCCTGACCATCAACTTCATTATAATATCAAAGTCTCCTACACTTTAAACAATCAAGATTCATTTAAGCACACACGCCATTGAATAAACCATTGAATTTTTTGCAATCAGCACGTTTTTTAAACGCGCTACAAATAATTTCACCTTTGACACCTTCACAGGTAATTTATTAGATTACTAATTTATAGAATGAATACATTCTCTTATATGTTTAAAGTTCTTCAACGCTAACATAGTATTTTCTGAATTAAACACACATCACTCATACGCCACGTTGCGAGCAAGTAAAAAAAAAAGAAGACAAAATCGAACAAGTGGAGCAACTGCATAAAATCGAACCTGCATTAAACACATCAGCAAAATAAACCAGGGCACCCGCCACACACGTTTCCTCCTCACATTCCCCGCATCACCAGGCCGTGTCAGGTCATCAATGAAAATTTTCTGCAATTGAGTGCGGGAAATGACACTTGTCGGATTGCCAACCGAAGAAGTCTCTGGCAGCAGCAGGAGTCTGACATCCTTGACGCTATTATTATTATTATTTTCACTGGCATTGTTACCCTCCAGTTGGGCAGACATAATGCGATTTGAAGTCGGCGACAACCGATGCGCTGAACGCTTAACGCGCGACTAGGCCCGATGGGTGATTGTTCTTCCAAAACCCCACGATCCATTCCGATCCGAACGTTCAGCGGCTGACGCTGACGGCAATCAAATCGGTAAGAGTGTGATTTTCCATAAAAGCGATATTGGAATATCAGATAGCATACTTTTAGGCGAACGTGGGCTCGTGCCCTGACTAAAACTTATTTTAAGTTGTATAGAATATTCAATTTTTTCCTACCGATTTTTTTTATATATTTTTTATTGAATATATATAATTAATGTATATACAAACTCCAGGAACACACCAGCCCGATTTGCCAAATAGTAAAACACTTTAATTGTCTTTTTAGTTAATTTTTATTTCACAACCGCACGCTCTCGTTGTCTTCAAGTAAGTGGCAAGGGTACGCATGTGCATACAAAAGGAAACAAAAACGTTCTTTGAAAGAGAGGGAGAGAACAAAGAGAGGAGAGGGCTTTGCCTCTCTCTGAGATCTTCATTGTTCATCCCCTTCCCACACACACACCATGTGTATATGTATAAGTGTGACTTTTGGTATTCTCAACACGCCACCTCAAAAGTTACACTGATACAATTTAAGGAAAAACAAAAGATAATTTTCTGACGAGTTTGTGCATTTTCAAATGGTTGTAATATTTTTTTTCTTCTCTGGGGACTCTTTTTTTTTTCTGATCCAGCATTTGCTGCAAAGAATTGGGGAAACCCAGTAAAACCCAATCAGATCATTCAAAAACATAAATTAACAAGATTCGCTTATATAAACAGTAATGGTTAGACTAGAAATTATTTTGGTTTGATTATTGTTAAATATATATATATATTCCAAGAGATCCAGTTTGGCTTGGTTTAAAGGTGAATTATAAATTAGCAAAAACTCCATATAAAGGTTCAGGGTGAAGGTCCAGTTAGCCCCATTTGGTCTCGCAGTGCAGTGAACCTAGCTGTTGGTAGTGGCTTCGTTAAAATATCAGCCAATTGGAAATCTGTGGAAATATACTTGACACAGATTAGTTTGTTTTCAATTTGTTCCCTGGTAAAATGATATTTGATATCTATGTGCTTAGATCTCTTGTGGCAAGTAGGATTATTGGCTATAATAATACAACCTTGGTTGTCTTCAAAAATATCTATTGGGCCAGTTAATTTTAATTTAATTTCATTTATTAATGACTTTAGCCATAATGCTTCTCTAACACCTTCAAATAAGGCCATATATTCGGCTTCGGTAGATGAAGCAGCAACTGATTTTTGTTTCATAGTACTCCAGGATATTGAACAATTTCCAAACATTTTAAATATATATCCTGTAGTACTTCTCCTATCAGTCTCATTTCCAGCCCAATCAGAATCGACATACCCTATAAGAATATTATCCACTTTAAGATTCCTTTTGAACGATAACTTTAAGTCAACAGTTCCTTTTAGGTATCTTAAAACTCGTTTAAGACATTGCCATAATTCTTTGTTATTATTATTAGTATACCGGCTTAAGATACTAATTGATGTACTCAAATCCGGACGTGTACACAACATTATGTACATTAAACAGCCAATTAAATTCCTACATGGTGCTTCACATGATTCTTCAGCTTGCAAGTCCTCATAATTTAGTTTGCTTGGAAGAGGGGTACTAACTGGATTGCAATCTTCCATTTTGAATTTCTTTAAGACATTTTTAATATATGCAGATTGACTGAGACAAATTTGATCATCTTTTCGATCAATTTTTATACCAAGGAAATGTCGTATTTCACATAAGTCAGTCATTTGAAACGTACTTGAAAGATAAGTTTTAAATTTAGACATACTTTCGGAATTACTGGTGGCAATTACCACATCGTCAACGTATAATAATATATATATATTTTTACTTATATCTCCCTTGTTTAAAATATATATACATCGGTCTACTTCTAGATTCTGAAATCCAAATTGTTTAAGTGCACTTTCAAAAACCTCAAACCAGCATCGCGCAGCTTGCTTAAGGCCATAAATAGCTTTATTTAGTTTACATACTTTATTTCCATCATACTGGTTTAAACCTTTTGGAACCTTCATATAAATTTCATCCTTTAAAGTTCCATTTAAAAATGCTGTTTTTACATCCATATGATGAATCAGAAAATTATATTGATTAGAAAATGCTAAAAGAAATCTGAAACTAGAAATTCGTGCAACAGGTGCAAAGGTCTCGTCATAATCTATCATATATTCTTGGGTAAAGCCCCTTGCTACCAGTCTTGCCTTATATTTTAGAAAATTACCATTTTCGTCTTGCTTTAAACTAAAAACCCACTTGCAATCTACTATGTTTTTATCCATAGGCCTTTGCACTAAGCACCATGTATTATTTACAAAATGAGAATTTAGTTCATCTTGAATGGCTTCCTCCCACAAGGTTCTGTCATCGCGAAATTTAATTTCCTCATATGTATTGGGAATATCACTTAAACACAATTGGGTATTCATAAGACATTTTTCTAAAAATCTATTTGATAATTTTGGTTTATCTTTATTTCTCTCACTGCGTCTGACTTGTTGATTTTCATTTTCTTGTATATTATCACCAGTTCCAACTACTGGATCGGTATTCTCGAGACAAGTGGAATTTTCATTTGAGTTTTCACCAGACTTTGAATCCATTGATTCATTCATTTCCTGTTATGGAAAAACTAACTCTTCATTCTCTCCAATTTGAGAATCATGACTTCTGCTAACATCATTATGTTTTACCACAGAGTCATTTTCATTTAAAGTCATAGATTTTATGCTTTTTTCGTCCACCACTACATCTCTAGCTATCACAAATTTTCTCGATTCCTCATTCCACAATTTATAGCCATTTGGCTCATACCCGACGAGTATAGTCTTGATCGATTTGTCATCAAATTTTCGCTTATGCACTTTATTTAGTGCGTATACAGTCGATCCAAATATTTTTAAATATTTTAATATTGGCTTCTTTTTATGCCACATCTCATATGGTGTTTTTCTTATATTTCCCAAAGCTCTACTTGGGGACCTATTAACTAAATAAGTTGCTGTTAAAACAGCTTCACCCCAAAAACTTTTATTAAGTTTAGTACAGTTAATCATAGAGCGAGCTTTTTCGGTGATTGTCCTAATCATCCGCTCTGCAACACCATTCAATTGTGGGGTATGAGGAACCGTTAAGTGATAGCTGATACCTTTTTCGACACAAAATTCACGCATTTCATTAGAGAGGTATTCCCTGCCATTATCAATTTATAGATTTACCATTTTTAAGTTGAAATGAGCCTCACTTTTTGCCACAAAGTCTTTGAATACAAAAAACATGTCTGATTTATAAGTTATTAGATATGTCACACAGTAATGTGTAAACTGATCAATAAATACTACATAGTAGTTTTTATTATCAATAGTTGAGGGCGTAATCGGACCACATACATCAGAATGAACTACGAACAATGGGCGGTCAATATTTTCTTTGTTTTTAGATTTTTCAAATTTTAGCCTAGATTGTTTTCCGTTAATACATGCCTCACATAATTCATTTCTATTTAGCTGTACGTTTTTTATAAGTTCAATATCTTCAAACAAGCTGTTTCGTTTAATTTCTAAGAATTTTCCTACACTAATATGACCTAACCTTTCATGCCACAAGCGATATTCTGCATCATTTAAAATTTTGGATGTATATACTTAACTATTTAAATAAAATTTCACAATCGGTACATTATATTTACATATCCCTTCAAATGCCAAGTTACCATTTTTGATTACTTTTATTCCATCCGGATTGAATTCGACGGACATTCCAGCATCTAGCATCTTCTTCACGGATAGTAAATTGTGCGGGATTTCCTTGCAGTACAGCACGTTTTGTAATGTAATGTTTTTTCCAGAACTGTTAAGGCTAACTAGTCCTTTCGCAGTAGCATACACAAATTCTCCACGCTTTGCAATCTCAATCGCCACACTTGGATTTATATTCTCATACTCGGAAAACAGAGTTATGTCGTTTACTATGTGATCTGACGCCCCTGAATCTAATATAAAATCTACGCCATCTATCTTTTCACTGGAATTAGCTAATTTCATCATAAATGCAAACGAGCGTTCTGGCTGCGTTGCTGTTGCCATCTGAGCCTGTCTCTCTCTAGCATTACTCTGGACATGAACATTCTGGTTGCCACCTGCCTGCCTTTTTAAGGAGAAACAGTCTTTCTTTATATGGCCTAATTTGCCGCAATGAAAACACTTCAACTTAGGCTTAGACTTATTCTGAAATTGTTTCTTCACAAATTTTGTTATTTTGTTTTTGTATGTGTTATCCCTAGGCTCTCGATTGCCTATAGCCTGCAACACTTTTGCACTTGTGTCCTTGCCAGCACCTTTTAGTTTAATTTCGTGATCTAGAAGCCGAGTCTTTACAAAGGCTAATGTTAAATTGCTCTCAGATAGAGTTTCTATCGCTGTTATTACCCCATCATAGCTAGTTGGAAGTGTTAGAAGCAAATGGGACACTTTGTCCATTTCATCTATCTTGGCTACCGCCGCAACTAACTCAGTAACCAAATCATCAAATAAACGAAAGTGGTTTACTAGCGGAGTATCACCCTTCAATTTTAAAGACAATAGTTGTTTGCGTAATGAAAGTTGAGATGCCAGACTTTTACGCTCGTAAATAGTATCCAATTTTTTAAAAATTTCCTTAGCCGAGTTCCCATTGTTGGCAAACACTAAAAAAGAGTCACTCAAGTATTCAATTATAAGACTCTTTGCATTTCTCTCTGCTCGCTTCACTTCCTCACTTTCCTTATCACTTGGTTCCTCATCAATTACTTTTATCAAATCGTTTTCCTCTAACAAAGCCCTGACTCTAAATTTCCATATGGAATACTTTTCCCCGTTAAAAGGTGTTATATTTCTCTTTCCCTTTTCCATCTTCCGAGAATAACTGTTCTTCTTTTCGGTTGCTATGCGCTTCTCAGAATTTTTTGTTGCTGGTCTGCTCTAACACTCGCACTGAAAAATGAAAAATGTGCGCCAATTTGGTGCGTCGTTATACATATATGTATATGTACGTTGTTCACTTATAAGCACAAATTTCAATAGTAATTATTTTGTTTAGACTTGATTTAAGTTTTAATTTGTTTCACTTTTTTTTTTTATTTCACTTTTATTATTCGGTAACAATTAAAGCATTTTTCTATAGCACTTAGCTGCAAATTGTGACTGGGCCCATAACCTATTGAATATATATAATTAATGTATATACAAACTCCAGGAACACACCAGCCCGATTTGCCAAATAGTAAAACACTTTAATTGTCTTTTTAGTTAATTTTTATTTCACAACCGCACGCTCTCGTTGTCTTCAAGTAAGTGGCAAGGGTACGCATGTGCATACAAAAGGAAACAAAAACGTTCTTTGAAAGAGAGGGAGAGAACAAAGAGAGGAGAGGGCTTTGCCTCTCTCTGAGATCTTCATTGTTCATCCCCTTCCCACACACACACCATGTGTATATGTATAAGTGTGACTTTTGGTATTCTCAACATTTTTTTTAAACTGAATGTAAGCATTTCGAAACACAAATTTCTAGCGAAAATCTCTTGAAACTCTTGTCAATTGAAAACTTGAAAACGATTTATAAATCACTTTTACCCTTAATGCTGTTGAATAAGTATACATTTTTCAAAATGCGTAATAGGCAACCATTTTTTTTCTATAATTATAATTCTTTGTCTAATATTTCAAAAATTTAAATCAACTACAAATTTGTCGTTGTAAAATTCAATTTAAATTTAAGTATCAAAATGCCCAAAAACCATTTAGATTTTTCAATTGGGTGAAGAACATTTAGATAAATTGAAAGACAGTGCTGATAAGTCTCGAGGGCTAAAAACTAAAATGGCACAGTTACCCAGTGGCCGACTACTAAACACTTTTTTATTCCAGCCAACTTGTAGCTCGAATTCAATGTGGCCCAGCCCCATCCTTGGCATTTGACATTTTAAAGTGAACGGCGTTGCACAGAAGCTGCAGGAACACTCCCAACACACCAGCGACTTGTTTACACAGAATTGTGGTGAAAAGCTTTCTCTGCCTTTCTCCGCGCTCGCCCCGTCTCTCTCACTCGCCTGCAGCTGTCTCTTTCGTCGCCTCGCTCGGGCTGGACACGTGGTGGGCGATAATGGTGGGAGGCGGCTGTCAACACCGAATGCTTGGTTATGAATGGCTTTTAATGAAATATTTATGTAACAAGCAATAAGAAGCACTTTTGGCTTCTGGACGGAAGCGAATGAGAAAGCAGCAATGCGGAATAGAAATGTAGAAAGAGACGGAGATAACATAAGAGCGTTGGAAATAATTGTTTGGCTAGTTAAGTTTGACGCAACGTTGAACTAAGATAAAGCAAACACATAAACGGGGAAACACACACTTGTCACACCATACAGCCGCGGTTAAATATGTGTATGTCCTTAAAAAAAAAAAAAAAACACTGAAATTTTGTTAGTTGCATTTTTCTTCGGGGAAGTCTTTATTTTAAGGTTCTTCATAAGTTACAATCATTTCCAAACATAAACAAAAACGTTTTAAATGCGGTGTTTATTTCTGTATTAACACAATAGATTAATAAATATATTTTAACGGTATAACACCTTTTAAATTAATCAAAGTTCAGTTTTCTCCAATAGCTGTTGGTAATCTCTTGTTTGATTTCCTTACACACTTACTATATCCTTAACCGCCATTGTACTTGAGTGAATTTATCTTAGTGTTTGTCGTAAACTTCCCTGACTGGTTGAGTTGCCAAAAGTCATTAACAGTCAACGACTACGTACCACAACAACAGGGAATGCACCCAAAACCAACAAATTGACAAATGCGGCAGGCCAAAGAAGAGCGGGAAAGTTGGCTGAACCTATCTCGGCTGATGTGTCTGATATGTCTGTGTCGCTCTACTTTCTCTCCCCCGGCTTTCATGTCACTGAGCCACCACAGGAAGAAGGATCAAATCGAATCAGCTTTAAAACGTTCAGGTATTATTTGGAAATTTGTTAGCATGATACAAATCTGATTCACTTTTTTGCCTTTTTAGGTAATTAACATTACAAAAGTATGCAAGTCATTAAATTAATTATTAAATTGTTATTATTGTAAGCAAGTAATATTTTTCCTTTTTTAAATTCCAATAAACGGGTTTAACAAAAACATATACTTAAATTAATTTTGTTAAGTTTTAATAACATTCAAATATACATTTCAAGACTTAGTTATTACCATGTAAAATCTGGTACTCTTTTTTATAGCAAACTTGACCCTTTCAAGTAGTTTGTTGTGTTTTAAATTTCTTCATTTTAAATTTAGAAGATTTAGATAGAAGATTTCTATCATTAAGAAGATAATTTTCTTGCTCATATTTTTATGAACACTTAAGAACCTTTAGCCTACGAATAACCTACCAAATGAGGGTCTCTCATAAAGCAAGTATGCGAAATACTTCAACACGCCAGTGAAACCCCAGGGGCCTAAAATAATTTTTGCCAGCCCACTTAGTTCGTTCCTTGGTTGAACAGGACCAAGATGTTCCACTTTAGCAGCACCCAAATCCAAATCCTAAATTCCCCCACAGCCAACTGAAGGAAGCAAATAACGTTTAGGCAAATCTTTGGGTAAAAATCTTGAGCAAACAAGCTCATTACAGGCAGCAAAATGCAAAAAAAAAGAAAAGCCAAAATAAGACCGGCAAAAGTTGTAAGCGAGGCAACTAAGTGTGCCACATTATTGAGTGACTTGGCTCCAAGGGGGCGTGGCAACGACTGAAGACCATTACGGTCACAGTTTATGACCGCAATTTTATTGATACCGCCAAGGGGAGCGAATACGAAACAAAATAAAGCAACCCAAATCGGGTAAATCCGAGAAGCCCCAAGGCATCTCAACGGATTGGCGACTATAAAGCGCAGTGGTAACACTTTCGAGAGTTCGCCAGCAGTGTTGGGCGTTTTTATTACGGACTCCACAGGCAATAACAATCACTACCAAGCACTACAATAAACTAATCTAATGTGCGCATCAAATTTGCATGCAGCAGGAGCTCAGCAGCGTTTTAAAAGACCTTTCTGGGAAATCCTTCGATGATAAGGCGTTGAGCAAAATACTCCTTTCGGGGCCGACATTCTTCACAGGCAAATATTAACAAGATTTGTTTCACAGTCATATGCCTAGAGATGGTAACATAGCCCGGCTAGGTAAAACAAATAATTAAATCCAAACCTAATAAAAGAAGTCACGCATGCAAAAACTGCAGGACTAATATGGCCAAATGTTCAAAAAATATAAACATTATTAAAGCGTTAAGAAGAAATAGTATTTACTACTAGTACGCTTTTTCCAAAACTCTAGAGGAATTTGAAATTTTTGTAATTTTGAAATTTTTTTAGTTTTGGTTAAATTATTTATACCTAATGCAGCGTGGCAATAATTTTTCCATCTCTAGAATATATTCATCCCGCCATTTCTGCGGTCCATGGGGCGTGCATGGGCATAAGTAAGATGCTCAGGACGTTCGTCCTTCGCTTTTCCCATTTCTCCACACAGTCCCTTGCTGAATATGTGTGCGTAAATGCTGGTTGGTGCGTGCCTCCGATGCAAACTCAATTATTAACTAAGAGGGCCAAAAGGCATACAGCAGGCGGCAAACACCTTACACGTTGCCATTGCCGTCTTGTTTTAGTTGTAACTGTTGTAAGCCCCATCAGCCCCCCTCTATCCGCACCCCCCCCTCTCCCAGCTCAATGGCCAACTCCGGGGAAATTTGCATTTTATCATTTCATGGCCTGGGCCCACATTCCCCCACCTTGCTGCGTCCCCTGTCGCCAGTTATTGCTGCCAGGAAGGGCTTTGCTTTTAATTGGTTTTCTGAGGCGAGAAACGTCTTAGCTAGTTGGCAAGACGAGGGTTAAGGGCGAAGGGGAGGAGGAAGGGTTGTTGTCGGTGTTGTCTTAGTTGTTAATTTAGTGTTAGGCGGCTCTAACTTATAATTGTTTAATTAGCAAGTAAAATACGGTGAAAATATGTGGAAATTATTAAATTTCAGGGACTCAAAACAAAGGCAAGGAAAGGAAAACGAGTGCCAGCAATGTGTGCAAATATCCTGGGAATTTACAGATGACAAAATCAATATATTAAAATCAATAGATTAATGGGTAATTTTTAAATACAGGGCTTTAAAAATAATTTAATTTGTGAACTGAGTAAGTTTAATAGATTTTTAAGCCATAATTTAAATAATGTTTCAACAGATTTCCAGTAGCTATCCTTAAAACAAATAACTTGCAGTGTAGACTAGCCAACAATGTTATTAATCCATAAATTACTTGATCAATTGTATAAGCACTCAAAAAAATTAGTATGAACTCAATTTATGAGTGTTCCGCTCAAGTTTATAAAGTATACAAATTTTTAATTATTTTTCCTATTGGTTCTATTACAAATTTCTGGAATCTTATAAATAAAAACAAAAAAAAAAACAAAACAAGGTCTCATAAACGCTTAGAAAAAAACAAATTTATACAATTCCCTTTGAGTTTTAGTGGTTTAAAAGTAAACACATTAACAAAATATTTCTTAATAATTTTTTATTAATTTTATTAATTTAATAAAAATATCATGTAAGCACAATAATATTCACAAGCCTTCACTCTTAATTTCCACTCAATAATTTCTCATGGTGCACAGTTCGGTTCACATTTAATAAGCTAAAAGCATTTTAGGCTCCCCTCTGAAGATATTTATCATAAACATATGCGCACTATTCTATACTGCCACTGTGTATAAGCGATTTCATTATGCCAACAAGTGAGTGAGTACATATGGTAAATGCTAACCCTTTTGGAGTTATAACCGACCAGTCAGCGGCAGTATAAACAGAACACTTCAAGGAAAAGGTTACCAAATAACGGAGTTCAATATAAAGCAAAATCAAAATGATTCAAATTATGAATTGGTTTTCAATGGTAACAATTGATTCGAATTATAAATAATTATATATCTAAACGACTTTTCTATATATTTCAGGTCATAGGCCTCATACCACTGAATCGCCAGCAATCGGAAACCAATTTTATTGTTGACTATGCCATGATGTATATTGTGCCTGTTTTGTATATAGCCTGTTACCTTCTGATTAACCTGAGTCAAGTTTTTGGGCTCTGTTTTTTGGACGCGTGCAATAGTGTTTGCAAATTGAGCAACCACCTCTTCATGCACCTGGGAGCCTTCCTATATCTCACTATTACTCTGATGAGCCTTTATCGACGCAAGGACTTCTTCCTGCAGTTTGACGAGCGATTGAACGCCATCGACGCTGATGTCCAGAAATGTCAGCGGCTGGCGGAAATGGACAAGGTGAAGGTCACCGCGGTGAAGCACAGTGTGATCTACCACTTCACCTGGCTCTTCCTGTTCTGCGTTTTTACCTTTGCCTTGTACTATGACGTAAGATCCCTGTATCTGTAAGTATTCCTGTTTAACCTCTATACCCCAATGCTTAAAATTCATATATTTACGAGTTTTTATTATTGTTCGATTTGTAACAAATAACTTCCACTCAATACAAAAATGGTTTCACATGAATAATTATTTGATTTTGAATTATAATTCAACAAAGTTACAACTTACAAACAAAATAATTGTTTTCAAAAGGTAAAATCGAGAATGCCAAACTCTTAAATCGAAAACTAAATATTATATATGGAATGGGTGGATTGATAATTATTATGCAATATTTGATATTACTGCATAAAAACTCAAACGCGACCATCGATGGCCAATTTTACAGCTCTTTAACTTTAGCCAAATTTTCCGCATTTTCCGCCAACAGCACCTTTGGTCACTTTGCCTTTATTCCGTTCATGGTGTCCAGTTTCCCGTACTTGGCCGGCAGCATCATCCAGGGCGAGTTCATCTATCATGTGTCGGTCATTTCGCAGCGCTTCGAGCAGATTAACATGCTGTTCGAGAAGATTAATCAGGAGGCACGCCACCGCCACGCCCCCCTCACCGTGTTCGATATCGAGAGCGAGGGCAAAAAGGAGCGGAAGACCATAACGCCGATTACGTCCATGGACGGCAGGACGAAATTTGGCAATGAGCACAAGTTGGCCGGCGAAATGAAACGCCAAGTGGGCCAACAAAAGAACGATGACGACGAAATGGACACCAGCAACGGCGAGGACGAGGATGATTTCGATTATGACAATGCCACCATCACCGAAAATACAGGGTAAGAGGGAAAACGATTTGGCGGCTAAGGTTTCACAATAGAAACGTTTGATTAATGGTTACAGCCGTTGTTTGGTTACCAGTTTTTCTTAGCATTTTACATTTATATAAAAAGACAACTATGAGATACTTATTTACTTTTAGCAGAAATAATAATGTTCATTAACTTCTTTAAATACTAGAAAGGTTAAATCGTTCAATGATTTAAATCGATTACAACAAATTCATTTTAAATATACATATTATTATGTTTAAGGGTCAAATTTAAAACAATTCTGGCACTTTTGCCGGAGAACCAATGCACTGGGCAATTTATAATATACAGTCTGATTTAAGCTCCTTTGTTTTTGTGTTGTTTTAGTTGAGTTGATTTTATTTGATTTAACCAAGAAATTCAAACAAACTAGCAACCAAATCTCCATTATTACCCGATATGATTATAAAAATACAGCCTTTAATTAATAAAAGTCTGATAAATTTCTATAAACTTCTAAATTAATTTCTTTAAAATTAGAAATACCTCGGAGGCCAACTTACCAGATCTCTTCAAGCTGCACGATAAAATCCTGTCGCTCAGCGTAATTACAAATGGCGAGTTTGGTCCACAGTGTGTACCCTATATGGCGGCCTGTTTTGTCGTGAGCATTTTTGGGATTTTTCTGGAAACCAAGGTCAACTTTATAGTCGGCGGAAAGAGTCAGCTGCTCGATTATATGACCTATTTGTATGTGATTTGGAGCTTTACCACCATGATTGTTGCATATATTGTGCTTCGACTCTGCTGCAATGCCAATAATCACTCGAAACAATCGGCGATGATAGTCCACGAGATAATGCAGAAGAAACCGGCCTTTATGCTAAGCAACGATCTCTTCTACAACAAAATGAAATCGTTCACACTTCAGTTTCTTCACTGGGAGGGCTTTTTCCAGTTCAATGGCATAGGATTATTTGCCCTGGACTACACTTTTATTTTCTCGGTGAGGATTTGGGTGCATACACCTTTAATTTCGGTGAACTCATGCGTTTTATTTTTCAGACTGTAAGTGCAGCCACATCCTATTTGATTGTCTTGCTGCAATTTGACATGACTGCAATTTTGCGCAACGAGGGCCTGATGTCGTAAAGCGCCCAGTCAAACTCAATTACAAAGTTTTTTAAATTTAACTTTTTATCCCTTATTATGTCCCCCTTTTATTGAAACAATCTGTGAAAAAATGTTTGGAAAAGTCGAACAGAAAACACTCTACTAAAATTAAAATTAAAATTAAATTTATTGATGTTAATATATATATGTTGCTACAATTTTAAATTAAAATATCATAATAACAAACAAAATTATTTGCTTTTTATTTTTAAATATGAAATCCAATTGCTTTTTGCCAATTTAATACTTAGCTTTAGAAAGGGAATACTAAAGCCTTAGTCTTTTTGTAAAATGAGAAGAACTTATATTTTACATTCGATCAGATCTGCTGTGTAAATTTTACCTGTTAAAATATAGGGACAACCAATAAATTTGAAAACCATTTCCGCCATTTACCAGCCAAACATTACCTCATAAATCACTCAGCCCAAGATAACATTTCAGAGAACCCAAAACGAACTGCAGAGTTAATCTACAAGGGAACGAAGGCTTCTGTTAGGCTCCGTAATAATCGCATCATCCAACACTTTGGACTCCCCGTGAAGAATGCCAAAAGAGGAGTGAAGCTTGGCACCAGAGGTTACTAACGCAATTTCTGTCAAATGTCAATTGAAAACCCGATTTGCGAGTCATCAGTCAGGGCCTCTTTTCCGCCCCAGTCCACAGTTTGCGGCCATCAAACGGAAGCCAGAAACGAGGGGAAAATTGAAAATAGGGACGAGAAACGATGCTTGGCGGCAAAAAAAAGAACATGAAGCAATTTCCGCTTTCAATCACGTTTAGTGCAGCGGAAATGTGAGCAGAAATATGTTTTCCCTCCCATTTTGTATGCAAATTATTCGATAGTAATGAGGTTAGATGGTAAACTGCATCACGATTTCCTTGATTCTATTGTCACAAAAAATAGGGCAAATTGACCTCCTAAGTTTAGCAAAGAAACGCGATTAATTACCATTATATGCAAAGAGTATTCAATTTAATTGATTTTTTTGTCACACTTTCCGTCTCTTTTTGTTACACATTTCCCAGCTAGACATACTGCGTGTCTGACATTACACAATTTATTAATGCACTGAAAAGATTCAGAAAGGCTTACACTTGCAATCAATAAAAAATTTTAATTAAAAAACTTATTCAACAATTTTGTATTGCAATATACCTAGGAAATTTCAATATATAGAAAAATGTGTAAATAATAATCTGTTTTATATACGAAACACTATGTTCTTGCATGATTATTATAACCCTTTAAAATTACCATTGAAATTTTATGTGAAAATATGGTATCTTTTTAATTATAAGTTATACTTGGTATGGTTTTTGCTATCTGTTTGGTTTCAATGTCTACAAGAACACATCCTGAACATGTAAATCAATATGTGGCTCGATTGACTCGTTTGCACACGAGCCCTCCATGGAGGAGAAATAAATAAAGAGCCACAGGGACCTGGGGAGACAGGGGATGAAATGTGGTTGTCCTGGCCACACAAATGGCTGGAAACAGAAGCAACAGGCAACACACATATTACCTGCAAATTACGTCAACTGTTGCTGGCAGTCTTTCTGGGACATGGCTAGATACAAGGGGTCAGCTTCGCTAAGGTAAGAGTAAGGGAGGTCAAAACCAGAGTAGGTTAAAGCCAAAATGGTTTGCTTTTCAACGAAATGAGAACGGTACGAAATCCCAGTGGAATAAGATCCAGGCTAGCTTAAAGAATATTCGCTTAAGCTTAAGGCTTAAGATTAAATACTTCAAAATAACATTATATATCATTAGCTATATTTAATTTTAGCTTAATATGCAAGAATACATTTTGTTTGAAAATAAAATAATAATTATCCTTGCGTTTTATATATTAGGGAAAGGTTACAAGGCCAATGAAAGTCCATTCAAAGACATAACAAGTCCAAAGTTTGGTATAATATAGTTCTATTAAAGTATTGCTGATAAGTATGCTACATGTTTTTTAAAACCCGATTAAAATTCACAATAAATATTAAAACTAAAAATAATTTATCTATAAGCCCATTTGTTTGTTCCTTTATAATGGAAGACATTTTCGAGTTTTTAGGGTATCCATATCGAATAATTTTTTTTTTATGTGAAGAGTACAGCATCAGCCACGTGACCCCATCAAGGCAATGTGAAATGTCACAGCACTTTTAAGGGTTCATTTGGTCGGAAGTGAGTTTTATACTGAATCGCTTGATGCAGTGGCTATGCAGGAAATATAGAGGGGAAGAAAAGAAACAAGCAGACAAATGCCAACAGGTTGTTGCTATTGTTGAGTAATTGAGACTAAAAATGTAATGGTTTTTTGGGGAAAATTCATCAAACGACCTCCCAGTGGGTCCACCATTTAAAAGTGTTGACTGAATTTTATTTATAAATCGTTTGGGGTCAGCTTCTGTATCGACCTAAATTAACACATTTTTTATTCGGTTAGTTTTAAAGAATTCGGTAGTATTTGATTTACATGTGGTGAAATAGAAATATTCTTAATTTATAAGATAACTAATATTAAATTTTATAGTGATGTGCTTGTAACATTTATTTTAGATATTATTAAATAATTTTAAAACAAGAAAGTAAGCAACGGAAAGCCATTGCAAAAATTAAATATTATTTATTTAAAACAAAACAGTGAGGCTATGGCGATTTATCACTACACTGTATGATAAAAGTCTCCCGATCTTAATTTTGTAATATTTTATCTTAATTTATATTATTAAAATAAAAATATAGAAATTTAAAATTGATAAAAAATATTTGTTTCTAACGTTCAATTGAGAATGTAGCTACGCTAATTTTAGATATTTGAATTGTCCATTGTATCTTGAAACAATTATAAACATGTTTTTTTTTAATAAGAATGTTGGAGTATTTAGTTTTATTTGTAAGTAGCGTTCAGGATTAAGGATGTAAATTGATGTATGCAAATTTTTGACATTATCATGACAACACTGACACAAATCGAAAGCTTTCACACTACAGGTGTCTGTCCGAGCGAGACAGAATCGCCAAACAGAGACAGGTGGCAGCAAAAAAGAGCAAGAGAGAGAGCCGAGCGACAAGTGTGGTGAATTTGCCAACATCCTTGAGAACGCAGTCACCCTTGGCCAAGCGCAGGCAAATTGTGCGAGGACTGCGTGGCGAAATCAAATCAAACTGATAACAGACGAGCGAGAGAGAGAGGGCGAGGGCTGCCGGGGGGAAAAAGATGACGAGAGAGCGAAAAAGCACGAGACCAACTTTTCCTTCAGCAGGAGCCACGGATAACGGGACAGTTCGTGGCGGAGTTTCGAGTGTGTCGGTTGTGCCCTAGCGGAATGACGTTTTAAGAGAGCCTATGTATGCGAGAGTGAGTGAGTGGGTGTCAGCCTCAGTGGCTTGTGTTGTTGTTAAGGAAAACGAAAGTTTCTGTGCGGCGCTTTGAAACCCAATGTTTAAGAACTAAAGAAACCAAAATAACAAAAAATTAAATTTTTATACGTTCTTAAACTTAAACCTTGAAAAACCAAAAAAAAAATCGGCAAAAAGAAAGGTTAGCTAGTGTAAATATTAAACAAGTACCCAAGCTAAAACTAATACAATTTAAGCAAATAGGAATAAAAAAAAATTGTTTTGATACGACCTCTGTTGAATAACCAAGAAGAGCAGACTGCGCAGTTTGGCGCCGTGTGGGCGTCTGCCCAAAAAACAAGAAGTTAAACAGCAGAAAAAATAAGAAATACATAAATTCCACATAGACAGAAACGGTGTGTCTGACTCTGACTTTTATTTACAGGTTGTTTTGGGGCGCTCTGTTGAACTCAAGAATTTCGCAAGCTTTGCATTAAAGTCTAGGATCACATGTTCGAAATATAAGTTTTTACTTTCATTGGCCTTACTCAAAGTTTCAATTTCTTTATTGAATAAATTCAAATACATTGGGGTGATGATTTTTAAAAATATAATTGAGAAAAAACATTTTATTTTAATTTTAAGTGTGTTTTTAAAAGGTTTAAAGGATTTTTATATACTTTTTATAATAAAACTTCTAAAACAAAAATAATGTTGAATAATGAGACCCCAAAAACTATATCAACAAAGCCATTTTATGAACCCCTCTTTTTGGATAATGGTGACCAACTGTAGCTCATTTTAAAGAATTCATTTCCATAAGGGTTAAATTAAATTTATTATAAACAATTGTGTTTTATACCACATATTATAGAAAGAAGTTATCTTCCTCAATAGTTCAATTTTTTGAAAAGTTTTTTTTTGCTTTTACCGCAGCGGAAGTCCTTGTAATTTTCCCTATAACAAACTTCACTGTTTTTAAGAGCATTCAAAATTCTGGATGCCAAAAAAGAAAGTGTTTTTACTGGTTTTGCCAGCATTTGTTCGTCTTCTTATTCACGTCTTGCTTTCACTTGGTCATGAAAATCAAAGTCCCCCGACTACCGCGTCAATGTATTGGCCCCATCTGTGTGGATTGGCCCTGGGTGAGTGTATATACATACGCGTGTATAATATAGGGGAGTTTGTTGTGGGGGCGTGAAAAGTTTGTCTTCCTGTTTGAGTTGCGTATTTGGGCGCCATTTCAGCATTCCGCTTTTTATTTACTACAAATTGCTTTGCATTTTTGTTCCATTTCTCCTTCAGTGTTATTTTGCCTTTTTCTTATTTTTTTTTTTTTTGTCTTATTGCGTTTAATGCGCTGTTTTCAATTTGTTGAGATATAAAATTTACATCCCACTCACACCACGGCCGAAGCCATGAAAAATTGTAATTAACTTTGCTGCCGACGGGCAAACCGATGAAAATTTCCGCACTAATGAGGCGGCAACAGGTTCCTCGGCAGCTTCAATTAGGTTTTTAATTAGCGACAGTTCACGGCTATATTCATAAATATATCAGCTCAGCTGCTGGCAATTTACAAAGTACTAACCAGCAAATAAATTCCTCGCGAGCTTTGCCGCTGGCAAATTTTGAGTGTATTTAAAAGTTTTTTGCTCTATCAGAAAGTTTTTGCCCAACTTTTCT